TATATCAATTTAATTACTTACTACACACACACACACACACACACACACACACAAAATGCAAAATAAAAAGACAAACTTCAGAAAACTTTTGATGAAAATATGAAAAAAAGACTCACATCATCTTATCTCTTATCTGCAAATCCACTGTTTCTAAAATATAGCTCAAACAAATATGTATTGAAATTTGAATATTGAATATAATGAAAAAGTAATATTCTTATATGTATATTCATAAAATATTTATTATTTAATATTATTTATTTTCAATTTTTAATTATAATAAATATTTTGTTTTTTAAAGTATCTGTTATTAGATTCAATTTACGCATGGACACATCGGATTACAGATTGTCACATTCTTTCAAAGATCTAGGGCGAATGCAACTAGTTCACAAGCAGCGAAGATACGTTGATAACATATCTTTGTTGTCAATTTGAACTTCATTAAGTAGTTAAGTTTGATAAGGACTGCAATCGCTTCGATTGTAAATAGTGAATTATATTAATATATATTTTGAACTGTTTCTGAATAATAGTGGATTTGTGGATATATGTTGATATAAATTTTTTTTCATATTTGATGTGGGAATATTGCCCTTGAAGTGCCCTTTATTTTACATCCTATATATATAGTTTACATAAAGAGAGAATAATAAACGTAAGAAGAGTATATATTCTTAACAGCAATTGCATATTTATATCTGTATATGTATGTATATATGTGTGTGTATATATATATTTATATATATAGATATGCTCATTGATATCAGTGATGTTCTCCATATCTGTGTTCACGAACTTGGTCGAACATATCTACGATTCACTCAAGCTCTATGTATTAATATACCATCAGTGGGTAAGCAATTTGCATGATATAATTGTATATTTGTAATTTGCATGTATCTGGAATGCAGTATCTTTTTATCAAAGCATTATCTTTATATATATATATATATTTTAGTAATAAATGAAATCATAAATTAGAAAAGTGTAATTTATATAAAAAAATAAATTTTATTATTTACAAAACATAAAGATAAAGATAAAGATTACTTACAATTAGAGATAAAATACAACTCTTACCTTTTTTAATTAACAAAGTAAAAATTTTTGAAATTGATTTGAAATAGAATTAATTCTTAAAAATAATTAATGTTTTTATTTTTCTCTTAGCATTGATCAATTGTACAAAGTTTATTTTAACATTTTTATTTTGCTAAAGAAATTATGACGAACGTTTTAAATGAAAGTTGCAGAGCTTCAAAGAAGATATAAAATAGTGTCATTAGTTTGATCTAGAATTGTTTGAAAGTTACATCAAGAGACGCGGTCGCGATTGATTGTCAAGTATGAAAGTCAATAATTAAACTAGTATGTCATATATAAATAAATAAATATACAAGTTTTATAAATTAAAGTATTTCTTGTTAAATATGTATATAATCTAATTAACAAAAAATATAATTATCATTATACATAATTATCATTACTTATAATATACCATTTGATACTTACTAGATTTATTTTATTAGGTTTAGGTGAAAAAAAGAAATGTGAAAGATATAAATCATAATTTGAGCGTAAATAAATAAATAATCATAAATCATAAAGCATAATTTAAACGTTTGTAAAGCAATTACTATATTAATGCTTACATTTAATTTTTTTCACACAGATTTAAAACTGGGATATTTTATTTTCTTTTAATATAATATTTTTATCAGATCTTAACCATGATATTATAAACTGGAAAAGATAATATATAAATATATCAAAAAAAAAATAAAAATTACAACAATAAAGTAATATATCAGTATTTTATACAATAAAGTATTAAAAATGTGTATGTGTGTAAAGTTCTTTTAACAATTTTCAAGTAAGATACTAAGGCCTATATTCTGAATTCTCTTTTATCGATAAAAGTGCTTCTAAAAATGATTCTTTAGATTGCTCATTTAGAGCCACTTTTATTGATAAAAGAGGATTCGAAATATGGACCTGAATTAATTATATTATGATTATATTTAAACATGTTTTTATAACATGTTGAGATATATTTATAATTTCATAATCATATATGCAATACAAAAGCATTTACATTTTTAATACATGAATCATTTTCATAATATTTTTTACATTAGGAATATTAATTTGAAGTATTTAATTAATACTATGTATATCTTATGTATACTATATATCTTAAGACAAATTTTTTTTCTTGTTATATTTTATTATTTCTTCAGATATTTATGATTGTTTAATTTTTAGTTAATTATTTCTTTTTATTCAATATAAGATAGTAATCTAATTTATTATACAAATCGAGCAAAATGCATTTATATATGCATAGAAAAATAGATGTTTTTTTTTTTCAAAATTATTTATATAAATTTGCAAACAAGATGGTAGTACAATAAAATAAAATACAAATACAAAATAAAATTTTGAAAATTTCTTAAAAATATGAACTAAATATTTATTTACATAGATCGTAATGTTAATAATTAACAAAAAAAATATTAAAACATGAACATTTTTTTTAAATTTATAAATTTTAAATTAACAATCTAAGTTTAAATATACAGAGATGTATTAGACTATTCGTACTATTCTTTTTTCTTGGTTAGAAGTTGGAAAAAAAATGTTCATTAGCAAAGCCTATTTGAACTAATAGTAATTTTTCAAAAACTATCGGAAATACGATAAACTTAGGTCAAGTCTAAAAGTTTAATTAGGAACGTAAGTTGAGTAGGTTATCGTTGGCTCTTTTAAAAACAATTTTTTGTCGGTTGAATTTTTTTTTTATATGACTTACGAGAACAAGAAAATATCACCGATTATGAATTATCCATTTTTCCAGACATAAAAAATTATAAGATTTAAATAAAAATTTTTAAGAAATTCTATGCAATGAATTGGATAATATTTTTAGAAATGAAGAGAAATGAGCAAATAAATATTAAATTTTTAATTAAAGATGAATAAGATCGAATAGGTTGGATGAGTTAGATAGGTCTATTAAAGCATTTTTAAATAAAATAATTTTTAATATCTTTTATCATTAAGAAAGAATATTATTT